TGCGCGGACTATGGAGACTGCAACGCCTGGTGTCGAGGTTTTTGTTGCTAAGATTCGCGAGGGAGCATGTTAAAAAAACACGTTACATGAATTGTATCACTAATCGATTCTGACTGAATGGTGAACATTTTCAGACAAACATGGCTTGGCCATGTTCATGTACGTTGTTGACCACTCGATTTGCAATCAAATTATCGTCTTCAAATTTGGATCAAAGATATCGATCTACAGTCTACCTTTGCGATGTCCTCAATGTCTGTAGAAAAAATTGACAAAGCTTCTGAATTCTATCGGTTTAGAAAGAATCAGCTAACCACTGTAAATTAAGCGCGCCGGCGATTTCTCCATGCAGTTGTTCAACGCCTGATTTCCGCAGTTTATTGACCTCAAAATGCAAACAGAATTGAGCTCACGGTAGCTCCTGGTTTCTGTTCTGGTTGCAAGGTAAAATAACAACAAAACGAAGAAGAAAATCGTGCCATTTGTTTACAAGTAAGTCATATCCAGGGATTTTTGGATGAAGCACCATAATAAGGGGTTTCGTCAACCTTGTGTTCCCCTAGGCAAGGTTTTGGCTACGCCCCTGCCTACACACAAAAGTAGATCAAGTCGATACGTTGCATGATGGGCATTGAAGTGTCCGTTGGGCCAATTAATACCTAAGGCAGACAGCTTCCCGGAGCTATTTTTCTGCGAGGGTGTGGTGTGAGGAAAGATAATTCGGAAAAAAGATACCGTTGCGGGTGTCCAACACGTGTTTCATACACCATGTAGTAGTAACGCTGATCCAAAAGTATGCAACAAAGCAGCCATACGATCAGTTCCCAGTCAGTCATGCGGGATACATCCGGGCCAGGGCAGTGGCCGCCGACGGCGGACAGGAGCAGGGCCCAGATAAGGAACATATGACAGATGGACCTTATTATGTGCTTTGATTCTTAAAAGAGAGTCTCCAGTTTTATGGATTTTGTCACATTGTTTCTAGCAGTCGCAAGCTCCCGAATTCGTTTCCGCCTAAAATTCTGCGAATAGTTTTGTCCCTTGAAAAGAAACCAGCGAAATGAAGGGGCGTGAAAAATCTGTCGCACTGTGAGCCGTCGATCCACTTTAAAATTATCACCAGCCTGTATCCAAGTCGTATTTTGCATCTACACTGTGGAGGCAAATGCTTCCTTGATGACCCAAAATACCTACCCGCTCGTGGAATTTCGTCTCCCCAGGAAAGACAATGTTAAAATGGGACGAATAATCTAGGGGAAGCTGGATAGCCTTATGCGCTGAATGACAGATGAGTCGAATAGGCAAGATTGTGCACCAGTGATAAACAGCTCTAGATGCATAGCTAGCATAGCAGCCATGACATTCGAAAAAGAGCGATAGCAATCTCCATCCCTACTCACCTCCCCCCGGTCATCGGGCTCGCTTTCCAGAAAAAGTTCCTGAAGTACACCCTGGGTTGCCCCCCCTCCCCAACACTTTTGAAACGTTCGTACGCCTATGTACCAAGAATGTACTAGGCACATCTAATGCTTCTGCCATCCTAATTCCTTCATATAGTAAAGCAGTCTGCAACGATTTGACAAGTTTTTCAAATGGTAACGCCTAGGTTGGGGATAAAGAAACAATTTACTGCAATAAACAGGGGCTTTTAAAACAACGGGTGGCCCTGGGTGGCTCCCTGGGCATATACAACATGGGCGGCATTAAGGAGTAAACCTGAGCACGCTTTGGAACCGAAAACAAAAACACGAAGAAACCAGTTCGAATACCGGTGCGTCTTGAACTTCTTAGAGCTTCCTTCTTTAAAGTTTGAGCATCCCCACAGTCCTAAATGCAATGGAACTTATTTGTCGGGTATCGACTTCGTTCTTTGACTATGTTTTGACGGTACGCCATTCAATTCTAACCTGATTCTGGTATTGCCTTCGCTTTTTGATCTTATAACTTCAAATGGTTTCGTTTCTCTGCAGTTATTGGCATCGTCAGTTTTCTTTACCCGTGAGAGACAGCCGTTCACAAGCATACACCTTCCTTTCAAAGTTTTCGGCAAACTTGAGCATTTGTCATGCCGAAATTGTTGTATCTTTGCAAATATCGATGCTTTAGAAGTATATGCACAGAATATCAGCCGTATAGCTCCTCATAAACTTCAGAAGGAGCCCTTAAACACATACGGCTTGGTTGCCTATACCGGACGGTCGGCCATGTGCACATTCTATAAATTCAGGGTACTGATAGTGTACACGGGGTGAGTTTCCAAGTCACGGTGCTGCGTGATAACGCTTTCCCTTTGCCAATCATTTCATGTTGGCTCAAAAGGCTTTTGATAGCGTCAACGTAAACCATCACCGTCATTTTACTGATCCTCTAAGCTCGCACGACCCTCGTTCGGTCTCAGACCGCTGCATCTTCTGCTTGACGTCTTATTGCCGCCAGGCCTTTGCCGCGCCAGATAGGCATGCATTTGCCGCTCTCAGCAAGCCATGGTCATCCCTGCGCTCAAACCGCGCCGGGCAACAGTCCGCACAGGGCGCGTGATCTTATCCGAAACCCACCTTGCGTGCACAAGCATGTTGCAATCTGCAAATGCTGCAGAAATGTTAGCGGTAACACACTCTTTTATTAAGAGCAGCTACCACAGCTGCTTCTTAGGCGCGAGTGTCAATTCACGTGAAGAGTCAGCCATCGCTCATACTCCAGATTCAAAAGTGCAGCAAGCGAGCGAAAAGTGCTCTGTTATTGTCAGAAAACAGTTTTTTGGGGACAATTATCCACAGTAGCTGCAGTATCATAACAGCAACTACTAAAAGCAGGCCATCATTCCGCGAACCCGGGTTTGTTTTTGGGCGATCGAAGCGCTGGCACGGTACGACGCGGTCGATTGCGCACTCCTGGAAGCTGCGTCCTCTTTCCCGGAGCGTTCCCTTATGCATGAATGTAATGAACTTGCCCGGCGTTTCCTGTCAGCCTCATCTGGATGGAAGCTCCGTTTCCCGAGTCATCGGCGGCCAGCGGACCAATCAGCTGGCTTGTTGTCCCAGCCGGGACAGCTGACGTGGCCGCGTGCGTGCCACGAGCCGGCACTGATCGAACGGCAACCGCCGCCGGCGGTGAAAAACGACAGGGCACAGCGTGGGCAGCCGAACCCGCCAGTGCCCACTTCCATGGACAGCGGCGAGCCCTTCGCTACTGCGGCACATTCCTCCAGGGTTTGCGCAACTGTTGCCTGGTGTTCAGAGATCCGTCGGCGTTTGTTGCACGCAACTTCAATGCCCATGAAACACAAATAGAAGGGACAATAACCCTTTACACCATCCTTGGTGGCATGTAGCTAAAATTAACGAAAACAGGAAATTACTCGGGTACCTCTATCCGCTAGAACGCCCGATGCATCATGTCCGTAAGCAAATAACCCAGCGTTCCGTTCTATTTCCAGAACACAAATTGGCAGAAATGAGATTTTTGCGGACACGATGTGCCCTATGTTCTCATAAAGTGCAGCTGCCCCTGGGTTTTCCACGAATGATGCCTGGGTGGCGAGACATGCGAGTGTTGTGATCACGAGGCCCATAGGCATTGGCGCAGGCAAGGGGCACAGGGGCACGTGCCCCCTCCCCGGCAGGCCCCGAGAGGCCCGAAGTCGGTCGGGACCTAAGGGTCCATTTCCCAAGCATTGACATGTCAAGGCCCGATATTTACATTCGTTGGGACGTCTAAGTCGAGGGGGGCTTCCTGTGTCGGCCAAGGTCCATAGTGCGTAACAACAGGTCCTGTGTTACCAAGGGGCCCCGAGTCGGCCGGGGGAAGTGCGAAAAGGCCCGAAGAGGGGCCGAAGGGCTGACTATGGATCATATTAAGGATCACGGCCAGCAGGGCCGTGACCTCAGCTGTCAGTCACAGGACCTTTCGCATTGATTGAGAACCCCTGTGATATTGCGGGCCTCTATTTTGGCCAGAGACCACCAACACCGAACATCGGTGGCTCCGTATCTGCCTGAGCCATAGAGGCTTTTTTCTCAAGCAGGCGCGGGATGGGGCCCGCGATTTGCATTGGTTCGGGTCCCAGAAACAATGAGGGCCACTGTACCGCTCGAAGGTCCACAGTGCCTGAGAAGGGACCCTGTGACGGCGAGTGGCCCCTAGTCGGCCAGGGGCCGTGTTTGAGGGGGACCAAAAGTTGGTCCCGAGTTGGTCTCTTTGGTTCCGAGGGGCCCTTCGGGCTCTACCGCACCAAAAGGACCAGCTCGAGGAAGGTTCTTTGAGGCCCCCGGCCCTTAATCAAGAATCTAAGGGTCCATTTGCGTCCTTAGGGACCAAAGCGACCAACACGGGACTGACCATCGGACCCTCTTGAACACAGCTCTGGCCGACTCGGGGCGAGTAAGGCTGAATGGCCTGAAGGGCCAGAAGGGCTAGCTGCAGGTAAATTAAGGACCCC